TTTGGAAATTTTCTACTCCAACTATCGAAGCCTTGGACATCCGAACTCCACTTAGTTATCTGGCAGCCGTCCGTAAGCGATCCCTTTGTCGCTTTCAAATAACTCAAAGGGTGGCGCTCGAGCAAACTCCGCCGAACCTGTCTGTTCGTTTTAGAGTAAAGCCGGAAAGCCTTACAAATTTGGCGCCTGAGCAGGGACCGTTTTAGATTTGGAGTTAGGAATTCTCCGACCGTATCCCCGTTAAAAAAAAATTTCAAAGTTCAACTTTTTTTTTTGTCGGTTGCAAAGTTCGATATTTTTTTGGTTTTTTTGTCCGCCGTATCCGCAAATTGAGTCCTTTTCCTATTGTCTTTTGCCGACCAAATAAAAATGAGTGACACCACCGCTTCAACTACGTCTGTAACAACCACCACCATTACCGTTCCTGGGGCGAGGCCCTTGTTAAATACTCCACTCAACCCAAACGATTCCCGGGTGGGGTGGATTTACAGTCTCCGTAGGCACGAACTCATCACCGAACTTCAGAAGTTCGCCCTGTGTACAACTGGTACCGGGGATGAGCTAAGGAAGCGCCTGATTCATTTCATCAGGTATGTAAACCGCAGCCTCATTCCGTCGGCAACCCCCTTTGCTTTTCCCATGCACGCTACTGGTGTGACTATTGCAGTCACGACTGTCACAACTATCGTACCGTCGACCGCAACCCCGATACCTTTCCGTCAATCCAAACGGGCTTTCAACCCCTGACAGGTGCCCCCCCGACTAACCAAACCCCATTTGGTATTCCGACACCCCCTGCAAATCCGACCGCTAGCTCTTTACCAAAGACCAGACACTGGAACGTGCAGTTTTCTGGACCAGGAGACCCTGTCGCTTTCCTGGAACGTCTGGAGGAAATTTGCGTGACGCAACAGATTACTCCAGATAATTTGCTACAGGTTCTTCCCGAACTGCTACAGGGAGAAGCCGCCCTGTGGTTCCGAAATAACTGTCGCTATTGACACAGCTGGTCTGATTTCATTCCAGCATTCCGGACTTGCTACTTTCCAGTCAACTATGAGGTGGACCTGGAAGCAAAAATTAGCCGTCGACTTCAGCGGCTTGGGGAATCTTCGATATCGTACATCAACGACGTGCAAACCATGATTAGGAGGCATGGTGGAACTTCCCCGATCTAGGAACTCGAAATGGCTATACCGTAACTTGCGCCCCGAATACCGACATAACATCCGCTGATCCGATTTTCACGACATTCAGACATTCTCGAAGATGGTTCGAGAATACGAATTACTGCATCAGGAGTTGAACGCTCCCGATGAAATCCTGCCGCGTTCTGCAACTCGTAACTCCGTTTCCAGAGACCGACCCCCGCCAAATAACCGCACAATCCCTTCCGCCCGATTCTATTCCAATTACTCGAGTACCGGATGTAACTACTCCGCCACGGCAAGCCAACCCGAACAGCACCGGAGTAAGGTGCTGGCGATGTGGCCAAACTGGATATCTTCGGGACACATGCACGAACCCTCAGAAACTGTTCTGCTCTCATTGTGGAACAGAAGGGGTTCTATCCAGAGAATGCCGCTGTAATGCGGGAAACTAGAACGGCGCCGTACGGTTATGAGCCCCGTGCGGAGTTCCGCCCTCGTCTCCCAATCCAGAGTTCCCGGAACCGTACCAATAACAAACGAAAACGTAAACAGATGGAAATAAATAAACTCCTTGCACAAAAAAAAAAACTTTGAAGGACCCCGGATACTTCTTTTGGGATTTCTGACCGCGGTCAAATGTAACCAAATTTTAGTATGTTATAGATCTCACCTTTCTGATCAATAACTACCATGGGCACAACTTAATCCTATGACTTGCTTTTGAGATACACGTAGTTTAATGTCCAAGCGTCCTGAGCGTGAGATACCTGTCCACCCTGGTATTATTAGGTGGTAGATGTAAATGCATTGAATAACGGACAAGAAATAAAACAATGTACTGAATACAAATATTTGGGCATGAAAATCTCACATGAGGGAACCCTAGACGAAGCAATTAAATATCGGAATATACAAGGACGCAAGGTAATATCCTTACTGAATGGTGTACTGTGGGATCAAAATATCAACAAAACTAACAAAACGAGAATATAAAACACCATAGTCAAAAGCATAGTCACGTATAGTTCAGAAGTCTGGCCACTAAAGATCAGAACCGCGAAAATGCTAGAAGCAACTGAAATGGACTTTTGGAGGAGATCGGCAGGCAGGTCAAAAATGGAAAGGATAACAAATCTGAGAATTAGGGAGATTATGGACGTAAAACACACAATAATAGATGATATAAAGGACAAACAGCTGATTTGGTTCGGACATGTACAAAGAATGGCAGATACAAGAATACCCAAGCAAATAATTGAGTGGAAGCCAGGGTGAAGAAGAAGACGCAGCAGACCAAGAAGAAGCTGGAGAAGCGGAGTAGACAAGGAAATGAAAGACAGAGGCTTAGAAGAGGATGCCTGGATTGACAGAGATGGTTGGAGATCGGGAATCGGAAGACGTAGAACGTTATAAACCGATAATTATATATATATATATATATATATATATATATATATATATATATATATATATATATATATATATATATATGTAAATGCATATAAAATGTGTGCATTAAACTACCTGTATCTCAAAAACTAGTCATAGGATTAAGTTGTGCCCATGGTAGTTATTGATCAGAAAGGTAAAATTTATAACATACTAGACTATTAAGTTTGGCCGCGGTCAGAAATCCCATAAGAAATGTGCGGGGTCCATTTACCAGTTTTATTTACATTTATACCCTGGCAGAGATAATACCTGTACGATGTCATGTTTTTAACATTTTTCTTGATTTAAATTCTGCAATAACTCCAAAAAGACTAACAATTGACCCATGTTTAATGGGACAGTTTTAGCTTGAAATGGGCCATATTACCTCGTGTTAAAATATTTGTATTCATACCTGATATATAGGTTGTGGTTGAAAATCTTTAAAAAAATGAAATGTCAGGGTGCCATCCCTTGATGCTGCTACATTTTTTAAACGTAAAAATACAGTTTTGGAAGGGCGGCTTGAGGGTGGCCATGGCTCGATAGCCCCCCTCCCTCTGGGTGCGCCACTGGTTCAACCATGTTTCTCTTAACACAATTATATCAGAGGATGTAGTAGGTACACTAAGCTGCAACACATTCACTTTTGTTCGTAAACCCCGGACGTTCTGATAATAAACAGTTATAGTCATCATTGACCGGCTGAGAGGATTAATTCTGGAGGAGTATTAGTTTTTTTTTTACAATATAGAGGAGTCCGCGTATATATGAGAGGGTCAAATCCGTTTTCCCACCTAATATTTGCAGGAGATTATCATGCTTGAAATAAATTGATATTTCAGACTTTTTCCTTTTTTTTTTTAATCATTACTGATGGCCTCACCAGTATTTAATTTGAACCGTTTTTTTTTTCTTAGGTATTTTTCCCATTTTTAACCATCGATTATAGTAGCTGAAATATGAAATTTTACAATACAATACAAATAAAGTGCTATTGTACAAGGTGGTCAATAAATTGCATCAGAAATTTGGGAAAAAAAAAACTTAAAAAATAAATAATTGTTCTTCCGAAAGTAGACAAAAAATTGACTTTTGTGAAAGAAAAGATCAAAAATTTAAACAAGGTGATTTTAATAATTTTTTTCCTTTCAATAATTTTTCAGTATTCGGAAAATTAGGATGTTCACTTCGTAAGAAAAACCACATTCTTGGACCTGTTGCGCCTCGACAGGCAATTTCTACGGTCGTCCGAGAATACCTATTCAACTATTTACTAGGTATAAAATATACTATTAGAGAACTATCTAAATCTGACAAACATAAACTTAAAGCTCCGAGCGGCGTCAGTAAGTTTTAATTGCTACACTAACTGAGAACTCAGTTATGGTTATGAATGTATATAGGAACATAAATCCTCCTTCATGATGCACTAGACGAGCGTTTTGGGCAAATTTAATACTCTGGATCACTTACCTATAGACAAGGTTGGATTTCCACGAACTGACTCTTGCGTTGACTTATTCTCTTGGATGCGATGTTGAAAATCAACCCAATCCTCTACCGTATCAAAAGATACAATTTTATCCAGGCTATACCAAAGACGCTATACGTAATAATTATTGTCTACTCCCACCTTGCTAAAGCAGAAGAATTATTGTTTCGACAAAATTTGCACTTACGTGACCAATTACGTAATTTTTAAGAAATAATTTCCAAATTCTCATGTTCTGATTGTAATAAAAAATAGTATAATATTCAACTAGTGAGAAAGTTTTTGTTTTATTTGTTTCTATTATTATAGACCTCCCTGTTTATTATCGAATTTAATACCACAAGAGGTTTCAGGATTACCGGATAATACTTTTACCTGGCACGAAACGCGTTACACAGCAACACTACGACTCCGAAGGAGGAGTGGTGTTGCTGGTAACGCGTTGAGTGTCAGGTAAAAGTATTAGGTAATCTTGAAACATCGAGTGGTATTCAAAAGGTTATACAACGAACTAAACTTTAATGCTTTCCTAATTTTTATTATTATTAATAACAATATTGCCACCAAGCGCGATAATCCCAAAAGGCTTATCACTTGTTAAGCCTCTCGTGTCATATGGGAATAATGTACAGTGAGTTGTATAATCTATAAAATCTCAAATATCAGACTGACAGTTGTTGTTGGTGTAAAGTAAGTAGTTCCACTATTGCATTCCAAGTATATAAAGCCTCTTAAAAAAAATACAACCATCTACTAAAAAAAATACAATATGCCCTTTGTCTATTCTATAAAAGCCATAGCATTAGCAAAAAAAAATTGAAAAAATGTTTTTTTTTGTTGGCTATATTGTTCGGTTTATTGTGTTGAGTTTGTATTGTTTATTGATGGTGAGCGAGATACGGTTAGGTAAGTCGCATTCTTACCGGTTCTTGGATTGCATAAGTGGATTCACTTAACAGATAACCATCAGATATTGCCTGAAAAAGACAAAATAAAAATATATTAAAAAACAATTCTGACAAAATAAGGTTTACAAATTTATCAGAGCCAAATAACTAAAACTAGTTCAGCTTGCTTGAGTCTAACTAAGTCCATACCAAGTTTTGACAAATTGAGAAAAGAGGAATGACACAAAGTCAACCCTATTATTTTCGTTTGTTAGAGCATTAGCAGATCTCACATGATTCGTTCAAATAGGTAATAAATTATCGGTTGTCAAATTGTTGGTTAATAGTCAATTTTACATATATTGTCTGGCTAGCGAAACGGCGAACTGCAAAAGAATTTGCTGCTTTGCCAAACTTGACAGAAACAACATGTGTAGCATTTTGAAATAGAATAAAATCCGGCAGCATTGCGAAATGAATGATGTGGAGAGGCGTGATTATTCAGAGGCATGATTCTATTGGTTAGAGCCTGAAGGACAGCACCAGTGGCGTGGTTATTGGTGAAAATCAAGAATTTTTTTCCTAATAATTTTTTGCTTTATTTCCCTGGTATTTTCGGTGCCACTGAACCCAAAGACATGGTTGTCATCAGGCGGTGTCAGTTGAGGTGTCAGTGAATATTCTTAGGCTACGCCCAACTTTTCTTCCCCCTTTCGTCTCTACCAAGTTACCACTTGGCAGACTATAGGTATGTGGTTATTCGTGTGATTATCTCAGGCCACAACCGTCTTTATGCATCCAGCCATGAAGAGAGTAGACGCGGCAACACTGCTTGGTGGTATGCAGTTTCCATAATCGTGTAACAGCTGATGAGTATTTAACCTCTAAAACTGTTGTTTATAGCTTTTTTTTATTAAAATAAGCTGAAAATATAGTTAAATTATAGATAAGTATTGTTGTTAGTGAATAATTAACTAGTTGGAACCATTCCCAGAGTGTTTTTGTTAATAAGCAGTCATACAATGTCAAGTTTTTCTCTTCTCTAAATAAGTGCCGGTGCCGGGTTGTGTGTTTGTAAACAATAATAGTTTCTGGACCTAAATTCGTTGTGTTTCAAAGCTTAAAGTGAACAGTTATCTTTTACTGGTTAGGTACCAGTAAAAGATAACTGTTGTAGCCTCAAATTTTTGAATTTAATAATTTATTATCCCGGGATGCAATTGATGCAAATCCAGTTATGAGAGTACCATAAAACAAGGTAAGACAGCTGTCTCTACCTTTGAAATTCCAAATGATGGTGATTTAAGAGAAAAATGGTTAAAATTAATCCCTAGGGATAACTGGACACCATCAAAATATTCTGTTGTTTGTGCTTTACACTTTTCGGAAAGAGCCATCATTCGCGAAGATGATTATCTTTCACTATAATAAGTATAATTTGGTATCCAGCCACATCTGTTTAAATTTAAATTCATATAGGACCTACCTAGGTGTATGTTTCTGCTTCTTTGTATAATCAGTTAGATGATTACTCGATGATTTAGATTTGTTCTGTTTTGTAAAGACGTTGCTAGAACTTGCCCTCGAACTGGGCCTCAATAAAAAGTACTTTTTTCTACTGACGTTTCATAATAGCAACTTTTCGATTGTCATTTCAGTTTTGAAACGACATTCTTTTAGGCACTGAGTGCGTGAAAGTTACTTTTAGGCACTCAGTGCGTAAAAGTGACTTTTGAATGCGTAAAAGTGACTTATGAGTGCGTAAAAGTAATTTTTAAGCACTAGTGCCTAAAAGTGTCATTCATTATTCAGAAATAAAAAACACACTAAACACATATTTGAATTTTGTTTTGTATTTATTATGAATATTGAAAATGGAATTACTGAATTGAACGTTTGGGTTACTCAAAACAGAACTTTGTGTTATTACCTACTTTCTAGGATTAATTATTGATGTCGAATTTTGAAAAGAAAATCGCATGAAAAGTGTCAGGTGTCAAGTAAAAGCAGGTAACAAAGATTTTGGGTGTAATCGACTTATTCACATGAAATAAAATTGTGTTTTTTTATTATAAAATGCCAGTAAAAAAAATCTTGTATACAATACGTTACGAAACGATGTCTTTTAGTCACTCGACGTGTTGTCCAACTCGGCTTTGCCTCGTTGGACAATTTTCACGTCGCGTGCCTAAAAGACGCTCATTTCGTAACTTATTGTATAAATAGCTATTTTACTAAAAATAAAACATTTACATTGAAAAAATATATATTTTTTATCCATAACCCTTGTTAAACTGCCAAATTGAACTGCAAGGACGCGACGCAACACGCGACGGTCCTACCACCACGTCAGTGATGATGCAGTGTTGCCACATGTTTGTTCATGGCTGGATACGTAAAGAGGGTTGTGCTCAGGCGCTAATGTTGTGTCTTATGATGCAGTTAGAAACAGTAAATTATTATTTTTTCAGACTATGACTTTGTGTAACCACTTGCCTCTTTTTTGATATTACAAAGTATCTTCATATACCAAATTTTCTCTTCTTCCTGGTTATAAAGCTAGATTAAAATACACAGTCCGTAAAAAAAAATCAACTAGTGTTTACTTTGCTTTCATCGCACACGAAAAGCAGTAAACACTCATTTTTCCCTCATGCTCTTGTCTCATAATATCCAGTTTTATGTAAACATTACCGCGGCTAGGAATATAAACATAAAGTTGTTGAACTCGTCTAGGGAGGTTGGAAAATATGTTGAAATGGTTTTCTCTTGAAAATAGTTTCGAAACAGAAATTTCAAAATATACTAGACGAGTCCCTGAAGAATCTTGAAAGTTTCAAATGCTAATTTGATTATCTAAGCGCTCAGATGGAAAGTTTCCGAGAAAATTAAATTTAATAGTTAGGTACCTACTTAATACAAACCCCCAAAAAAATTAAAAACAATTTTCCAATTCAAAATTGCAAATTGACTTTTCTTTCATGTAGCATTTAGTGGTATTAAATCCCTAAATATTACCCAACTGGTATATGTATTTAGGTCGTCATTTGCATATGATGTATAACGATTTGGGAAAATATGGTAATCTGCTTCGAATTACTTGTAAGCCCTCACCCCTCAATATGGATCGGCTTTTTGCCAAATGCTGTATGTGTATTGTATCGTGAGATATAATTACTTTTTGAATTACAAACGCACAGTTTCGAAAATTTATTATCCGATACACTTATACATAATATATTTCGTATGCAATGGCAACAAAGTGTCCTTGAAATAACTGATGGGAGCAATGAAATATAACCAAAGACTGGAATGCGAACACATATTGACGAACGTGAAGCCTAGTGCCGCTGCTGCGGAGGGGATACCTGTTTTTATCGAACTCATTAAGTTAAATGGCGGAAATTGCTTCCAACACGTATTCCAATTGATGAAACCTGTGAAGGTAAATATGACAAAACTTTCGAAAACGTCATATGTCAGCAAGCAACAGAAAAAAACAACATTCCCCTTTGTGGCATCTGTCTTTCATGGCTACATTTTTTTGGCAGATATGGCAATGTGTGCGCATTCCAGTTTTTGGCTATAGTTCATTGGATGAGAGTTAATCAGCCCTATAAACAGCTGGTCTAGCGTTTTGCTAAGCCGCGTCATTTATTACGTGGTTTATAAAAGGCTGAACGGGTTTGATAAGGGACGACCGAACGGGCTAATTCAATAAAATACGTATGGATGAACGCCATCGATATTTGATATCTAATAATAATTAGTGCGCATTTAGTGGACCTTTATGTTAATCCATAAAAGCAATCAGAAACCTTTCTAGACAGATTTAACATTATTTAAACTTAACGAAATATGGAGTGCTTGCACGCTACTGCCTCACCTAACCTTTGCTTCTGGTCTTAATTACCATAGTGAAAGACTGAAAAATAGGTCCTACGTTAAATAAATTATGATTCGTCACATCAGAAGACAATGAGAAACTTAAAATAAACTACAAAAAATTAATTAAACCTACCGTTGGATGCTAGGAAGTGACCACTATACTTCTTCGTAGAAATAGTCCTCTCTAAGATATTTGAATGTAATCAAAAGGAAAAACATTACTCACAGTCAAAGTGTTTACACGAGTTAACAAGTCAGAAACCGAAGGTTGGTTAAAAAATTGACTTTATTAAGAATCCGAAATTATTACTAGGACTAGGAAAAGCACGTTACAATAAAGGTTACAATTATAATAAATTTCAACTGACTTACTATCCTAGGAAAATACATATACCTATTTATAATAAACTGAAAAGAAGAATAAGCATTTTAAGTGAGGACTCAGCAAATAGACGTGATATAACTCCTCCCTTCTTAGCTTCAACTTCCACACTAACGGGGGAGTTGAATACTCCGGTTTTCTTCTGGAACGGGGGTGGACCTCTTCTTTTTCATGGCGGCTTTTACATATTTCATGTTAACCAAGAAGATAGAGACAATAACGATGAGGACATATTATAAGGATTGTCCCAAGGCTGAGCAATCTATTGATTACGGTAAAGCTCAGTTGTGGGCGTATGTCCACTACTTCTTTGCTCAATTGGTGAAGGTCGTCTAATTTCAAATATTTTAGATATCGACTTAGATTGAGGGTCGGCATCATGGCGAGTGTATTTGGTATGTTAGGAAACAGTATCAGTTGAATATCGGTCTTGATTATCCTATTTTCATTGATAACTATTTTGGAAGCAGTGGCCACTTGGCAACCAATTGGTATTTGTAGCATAAATATTCCAATGATATTTTGTACTTCTTTTTGTTGAAATCACTTGAGTTGGATGGCTTCTTTGACAGGAACAACCAATATCCATTGATTGGAATCGTCCAATCGATTGATGATAATTTGCGGGACTTCAACTTCAGATTGTTCGCAGGTGGAGACATTTTTGTCAGAATGGAGTAGTTTTTTTCGCATGGGCTGTGTTTGTGTAGTGCAATTAATTTTTCAGCAAGAATTTATTTCGCGGTGAGAAAACCTTAAACTGACTCTGAGAAAGGATTGCAACCGAGTACAAATGAAAGTAATCAAAAATTTCCGAATT